TTAAACTGGGTGGCTCCTTGGAGGCAAGGATTCTGAGGCTCCGTTTAACATACTTTGGACATGTTGTAAGGAAAGACCGGTCCTTGGAGAAGGACATCATGCTTGGGAGGATGGAGGGACAGAGCAGGAGGGGAAGGCCCTCTATGAGGTGGATTGATTCAGTGACTGGGATAATCGGGATGGGGGTGTCAGAGACAGTGCTATTGGCACAGGACAGAGCAGAGTTTAGGGCTGTTGTACATAGGGTCGCTATGAGTCCCAAGCGACTCGACGGCACATAACGAAAACAACAATAGTATATTTATGCTATGTATTAAGGCTCATAGATTTGCTCCTATTTTTTCTTTAATGACCTTTTTTAGTTTTAGGTTTTACATTTTTTATCCCTCGAGTTAATTTTTATGTATTATGAGAGAGATGGATCCTATTTCCTTTTTATTCAGAAATATATTTAGTTTTGTCAGCAGCATTTGTTAAAAAGACTATTTCATCTCCATTTAATAGGTCTAGAATTTTTTCAAGGGTTTATTGTTTACTTCTGAGATTTAAATTCTATTCTATTGGTATATTGGTCTATTTTCCTCTCATGTTACCAATATCAGGTTGTTTTGACTATTATAACTGTATAATCAGTTTTAGATTAGATAGTGGACTACTTAGGTGACAGGACTTTTCCTTGGAGGTTATATTATGTTTTAATGAATCTTAGTTATTTGTAAAACTTTCCAGGAAGCAGTGATATCTTCCCAGATCCAAAGGCCTGGCTACTCTCATAGTCTGCAGAGAAGTGAGTGTGCTGTGTTACAGTGAGAAAAAGAAAAGTAGCCACAGAAAATTACTACCTTTAAAAATATTTTGTGGGGGAATAGTTTCCTCCCAGACAGAAGCAGGAGAGGAGACCATTAGCATCAACGCCATTAGCATGTGCATGCACAGGCCAGTAGCACCAAGATCTTCCTCTCAAACAACTACAGCAAATAGGATGGGTTGCAGATTGGCTGTTGGCACCAACTTAGACTTGGGGATTGGACTGTTTGGACCTTGTCACCTCTCTGGGCCATTATCTGCTCAGGCAGGAATAGCTCTTTACAATCAGCCTGATGAGAGGATACATGTATGTAGGCCAGCCATTAGCACCTGTCTAGAAATGAGAATTGTATTGTTGGGACCTTGCTACTTCCCTGGGCCTTTATCTGCTCAGGTGAGAATAGCTCCTACCAGTGAGGCACATGAGAGGAGACAAGTATGTGAGTCGGCCATTAGCACCTACTGAGACTTGGGGTCTGCACTGTTGGTACCATTGTCATTTCCTGGGCCTTTTCTGTGAGCAAAATATCCTAGGCAACACATATGGGACTTTGCCCACCCCTGAGGGAAACTGCCACCTTCCATCAAACTACAGGGCAGGACGTAAAAGCTTGCCACAGAAAATAGTGAAGAGAGCTGCCCGTAGGGCAGATATGATCAGAAATTGAATCTGAGAAATTAAAATGGGGGCAGCAATTAAAGTTTATAATTTATCAATAACAAAGATAAGGAACTGTCAACTACCTATGCAGAAACAGCATAAACTGGAACTTACTAGAAGAAAAAAAAAAGAGAGAAGATGGAAGGAAAATGAAGAAAACATTAGAATCATGTGGAATAATAATAAATGGAACACACATGAGCTACTGGGATTCCAGTACAGGAATGGGAGAAGAGGGAAAGAAACATTGAGAAAATTATGGATACTAAAAGTAAACTTTACAGGCATCATGAAAAATGAAGAAATTTACATTCAAAAACCTCAGTGAACTTCAGACTAGACCCTAAAAGAAAAACATCAAGGTATGTAATAGTCAAATTCTCTGAAGTCAAAGATATGGATAGAATACTAAAAGCAATATGAGAAAAACAAAGAGTAATCTTCAAAGGAGAACTAATTCTATTAAGCTCTGACTTCTCAGTAGAAACCATGTGATCAGGAAGATAATGAGATAATATAAACAGAAGGCAGAAAGAAAATAATTGCCAATTGAAGATACTGTACACAGTAATACTATCCATCAAATACAAAGGAGAAATTGGGTAATTGACAGATAAGCAGGAACTCACGGAATTAATGAAAACAAGATCAACTCTATAAGAAAAACTGAAGTCCTTCTCACAGAGACACAAAAGGAAAGTGAATGCACCAAAGTAATCAGCAACAACAATAACAACAGATAAAGGAATGCCGTAAAATGGTAACTATAAAATCTGGCCTGCCAACTACCACATTTAATGTGAATGGGTCAAGTGCACCAATTAAGAGAAAAAGAGTTGCAGGATGGATAAATTAATAAAGCTCATCGATATGTTGCATGCAAGAGACACACCTAAGAAATAAAGGAAAATATAGACTGAAAATCTGGAAAAAATATATGAAGCAAATGACACAAATAAGAAAGCAAGAATGCCAATACTAATCTTTGATAAAGTAGAATTCAGTGATTAAAGACACAATAGATCAAGAAGACATAAACCTTGGTTAACACTCACCAAATGATATGCCAGTAAAATACATAAAATAAAGGTTAACAGATTAGAAGAAAGAAATACATAGCATCACAATAATAGTAGGAGACTTCAATACATTAAACTTAGCAAAGGACAGGTCAGCTTGAAAGAAATTAAATAAAAATGCAGAAGAACTAAGCTATACAATTGGCTACTCAACCTCGGAGACATATTCAGGGTATTTCACCCAACTAAAACTCAATTTACTTTCTCCTTAAGTATACATGGTACATTCTTCAGAACTGATCAGTTATTAGGAGACAAAGTAAGCACTAACAAATTAAAACCCATTACAAAGTATGTGGGGTGAAACCTTCTCATCTTTGTCTGTAAGGAGCGCCATGGTTGCTCTTCCTTGAAGACATAATTGTTTTTTTGGCTGTCCTTGGGATGTTCAGTAGTTTTCTCCAATACCACAGCTCAAAGGCATCAATTCTTTTTCTGTCATCCTTATTCATTGTCCATCCTAATTTATTGTCTGGAAGTTAGATAAATGTCTATTATTGATCATTTTTAAAAATTTAATTAGTAAATGTATAGGAATTAATATTATGAGGAGGTAATCCTCATAATCAGAAAAAGAACCAGAGATATAGCAGAGACTGGTGGAACCCTCAAGACTATAAGCCTTAGTTATTCTTCAAGCCTGAGTTTGAAATCACCCAGGTGGCTCAACTTTCATCCAAAGTAATCAGTGATCAACTATAAAGTGATCAGAAACACTAGGGAGAAATGTATTCCTTAGAACAAACAAGATGCCTAGAACTGTACACATTCAAAAATGCAGAATTTGTCTAGAGATAAGCCATTGACCATAGGAAAGAATAGTAAAGATAGATCAATGGAAATGAGGGTGTGGAACGAAGTGGAAAATGGTGTCATAAGATGGGGCTTATAATCAATGTCACAAAACATAAAATGAATAAATTGCTCAATCAATCTGCTCTGTAATTTTCAATCAAATTTCAAGAAAAGTTAATAAGACTTCTAAAAGAAGATAAGTATATAATAGAGGAAGAAACTGAAGGAGATTAAAATGTTGTTCAGAATGAATTACTGTACACATACCAGAAATGGTCACCTCACATTCTTGAGATAATTGTGGGTAAAGGTGAATTCTAATGTCCTTTTTGTTTGGTGTTGTTGTTTGTTTGTTTTTAAATTGCTACCATTATGCATCCTAATTTTTAATTTTACATGCTAAGTCCTGCTATTTTGGGCTGACTGCATAAATTTTATGAGGCCAGTTATCGCCTCTACAAACTGCACTGTTAACTCTGTTATTGCACACTTTAAAAACAATTTAACATGTGAAACTCATTATTTAGTACAGTGAAGATACACGACTATTTTTTTAAATCATAGGCCTAACATCTGTTTATCACACTCTCTTTCCCCCTTATCCCAAAAGGATTTTTCCAGTTAATGGCAAGAATCACAATTAGAAGTCCTTCCTCAAACTGTACCCACTGGGATAGGGCACTCCTCGGAGAGAGAAGCTTTGTTGATGGAAGCAGATATGATTCATCACTTAGTCATGAGGGAGCAGATTTCATACCATCATTTGGGAATGTGGCTTTTTGCTCAGATAGACTTCTTGAGATGGATTTCTAGTCATTTCTGTTGCTGCATTGTCTGATAGGCAACTATCTGGAGCACATCTAGCGAGAAACAGAACTTTCTTTCACTCTGACTCCTATCAGGTTGGTGAACAAGTCTCCCTTGCCTTAACTCTTCCATGCTTGTTCACAGAAGCTATTTTGAAGGCAACAGATCTTAATGGTTAAGAGATACACAATGTTCAACCTACTCTGAACTCAGATTCTCTCTAAATGCTCACAACAGAGTGGTGTGTAAAAAGAATACGCTCTATGTCCAGTTTTGAAAGGATAAAGAGGGTTATTGAGATGGGGAGAGATTGTAGAAACACAAAGATGTATCACTGAATGAAATAATTAGTATTCTGTGCCCTGTTAGTAAGTGCTCCTGTGTCTGAGGAGAGTTTTAAGAGAGAACTATAGAAGATTAACTTTCAACGAACCTATTCTCAAGTCCTGGGTCTTTGTTAACTAAGAAGGTCACTTCACTTCTCCATAATGGTAAATGTGCAAGATGTGGTTTTGGATGAAATGTACATATTTTTGCAAGAATATCTTCTATGATGTATGTATATATGTGTCTAAATATATATGTGATTGTGTGTGAAAACAATGCATAAGAATATATGTAATGCATATTTGTACATGTTGTATGCATATCCATGCATATGAGAATGTTTTCATATATAGGTGTGTCTAGTGTAACAAATACTCTTGGTTGCAATCTAAATAAAAACTTTTTTTGAAGTTACAACAGGCACAGAGAAAAAGGAATCCACTTTATCCTGCCTTCTGAAAAAAGCTAGACATCTTCCAGCAAAGTGGAAAGAATCAACAAATTGATCAAGAGTAGCTCTCAGAATGAGGCAGACTAACGCAACTTACTACTGGAGAGGCTTTGTCTTCCTGGGCTTCTCTAGCTTTGGGGAGTTGCAACTCCTGCTCTTTGCCATATTTCTCTTTCTGTATCTCATCACTCTGACCAGCAATGTCTTCATTATCATAATCATTAGACTGGATGGCCATCTTCACACTCCCATGTACCTCTTCCTTTCTTACCTCTCTTTCTCTGAGACCTGCTACACATTGGGCATTATCCCTAGGATGCTCTCTGGCCTGGTCATGGGAGACCAAGCTATTTCCTATGTGGGCTGTGCTGCCCAGATGTTCTTCTCTGCCTCATGGGCCTGTACCAACTGCTTCCTTCTGGCTGTTATGGGCTTTGACAGGTATGTGGCCATCTGTGCTCCACTGCATTATGCCAGCCGCATGCATCCCACCCTCTGTGGCCAACTGATAGGCATCTCCTTCCTGAGTGGATACCTTTTTGGGCTAGGGATGACACTGGTCATTTTTCGTCTCCCATTCTGCAGCTCCCATGAGATCCAGCATTTTTTTTGTGATACACCCCCAGTGCTGACCCTGGCCTGTGGGGACACAGGCTTAAGTGAACTGGGGATCCTCATCCTTAGTCTGTTAGTTCTCTTGGTCTCCTTCTCTCTCATCACCATCTCCTATGCCTACATCTTGGCGGCCATCCTGAGGATCCCTTCTGCTGAGGGACGGAAGAAAGCCTTCTCCACCTGTGCTTCTCACCTCACAGTGGTCATTGTTCACTATGGCTGTGCTTCCTTTATGTACTTGAGGCCCAAAGCCAGTTACTCTCTGGAGCGAGATCAGCTTATTGCTGTCACCTATACTGTGGTGACACCTCTCCTCAACCCCATTGTTTATAGCCTACGCAATAGGGCTGTGCAGACAGCTCTGAAAAATGCTTTCCAAGGAAGTTTACTGGGTAAAGGATGAGGGAGAGTTCAATGAAAAAGTCTCTTTTGAGTAGATGGACATAGAACGAGAAGCCCATGCCAGTAGGCCAGATATTCAGGGTATAGGCCAAAGCTGTCTCTTTGAAACCCCTAGAAGAGCTCCTTCCTGCCACCTGACCTTCCTTCAGTGCTACTTGGGCTTGCTATTCTGCTTACCAAGCTCAGTTCTTAGATTTTAATTTTCAGCCTCACAGGTGACAGCCTAGGTATTGAAACAGAATTTACTGAGTTTTCTAACTGATTTGAGCAAAATGAAGGAAGTTTTGAATGATCAAATTTAAGGCAGGACTGACAGAGACTGTATCAGGAATACCCTAGAAATTTCTAAAACAATTGCAGAATTAGATTTCTATGACCCGTGAGGTTCTTTTGAGATCTGAATGTCAGTAAATATCTGTTTGACAGATTATTTTGAATCCCTTGCACAGAGAAAAAAAATAAAATGTTCTTTTCTCTCTCCCTCCAAGTACCTTTTGAAACATTTTTATCTACAAAGATAAAAATGTCCTCTCTGCTACTGACTCATTACTTTCCATCCCCCCTTATCTTTAATTAGTTATTCTAGCTGGGAAGATTCTATTTTAGAAATTTCGTTTGTTTCCTGATTTTCTTTATATATAATGTTGTTGGCCACAAAATCTTGAGTGTCAAGCATTGCCTTTACATGGGTCATTTCTCAATGTGATCCTATATTCTTGAATCTGTGGCAAGGCTACTACTTTTTCTTTTTCTTTGCATGTGACATGCCGAGTACCAAATATCCCTAAAAATACATTTAAAAAGTGCAATTAAATACACAGCTCTCAGGCAGGAGTTTAAATCCTGGCTCTCTACTACATGTGTGATCCTTGTAAGCTGTTTAACCTATCTCAGCTTCAATGTCTACATCTATAAAATAGTTGTAACTCCTTGGTTTTTTATCACTGTCTAAATAAGAGTATTCATGTAAGAACTTTGTGCCATAGGAGAATTAATATTAAGATTATATTAACATTAGTTACAGCTATTAATAATATACCATGCAAAGTGAATAAGTGGTGCAAATGATTTATATGCTCAGCTGCTAACATTAGGGTTTGGGATTTGAGTGTATAGATATACCTCAAAGAAAGATCTAATGATCTACTCCCTACAAAACAATCATTGACAACCCTTTAGGATACATTTCTACTGTGATACACATAGGGTTACCAAGAGACAGCTAACTGGACTGGCTACTATGAAGTGAACTGATACTGGCTTTTAGAGAGAAAAATTTCTCTAAGTAGAGGACAGAGAAGGTTCATGTTTAAGGTAGTATTTAAACTTCCTAAATGATTCATGTACTAAGTGAGAAGATAGCATATTTTGAGAAAACAACATGACTAAAGGCTCAGGGGTAGGCCAGTATCAAGAATATGGTGACTTGTCCAGAGAGACTGCAATTTCCCCACTACTGATGGTCAAAAATTGACTGGATTTACATTTCTTTGTTGGGGATTGGTAGCAGTCTGAGTGACTTGCTCTAAACATAGTCCTTTTGAAGTGAGATACAAGACAGAGAAAACCTGTCAGCATGAAATAGGCAACTGAGAATTGTTTTAGGAAGATTAGTCCAACAGTAGAGAAGATGCATTTCAGCAGTAAACATAAAAATAGCAAGGATATTAGTGAGAAAAAAGGAATTCATTCTGTCATTCCAAAGGAAAGGAAAACAATGCTAAACTTGGATTGTAGTGATAGGAACTGAAGAAAAGGACAAATATAAGAGATTTTGACTATGTAGAATCTACATGATTTATCAGAGAGTTAAAAGTAAATCATGATCTAAGAAAGAGGGAGTTTACAAGATAGGGACATTTTATTAGATACAAATCTGTCTTTGTCCATACTTCCAGGAAGCATATCTTCTACAGAAACTTGTACAACAATGTTCATTGCAGGACTTTTCACAGTAGCCAAAAGGTTAAAACAACCTAAATGCACATTATATGAATATGGAAAACAAAGATTATAAGTGATTATTGTTGATAGGAGAGAGGAGGAAAGAAGGAGGTTTTTGGTAGGGGAAATTAAGTGTATGTTAATGACAATGGAATAATATGAAGAAGGATATCATAACAGTTGTACAACAGAAATATCATCGGATTATGCATATATAATAGTGAATTGGCCAATTTTTTATTGTGTAACCAGGCTTCTTCTTGGAGGCAAGGATTCTGGGACTTCGTCTGACATACTCTGGACATGTTGTAAGGAGAGACAGGTCTTTAGAGAGGGACATCATGCTGGGTAGAGTAGAGGGACTGTGCAGGAGGGGAAGACCCTCTATGAGGTGGATTGATTCAGTGACTGGGGTAATCGGGATGGGTGTGTCAGAGGCAATGAGATTGGCACAGCATAGAGCAGGGTTTAGGGCTGTTGTACATAGGGTCGCTATGAGTCGCAAACGACTCAACGGCACATAACAACAACAACATATTTTCTTTATTATTATGGTTATTGTTGGTTACTATCCAGTTGAAACTAATCCATAGCTGACCCTGCAGTGGGTTTTCAGAGACAGTAAATCTCAAGGGAGGAGATAGCCCATATTTCTTCCATGGAGCAGCTGGTGGATTAGATCCACTATTAAAAAACTAGTCGATATATGCCTGGAGCAACAGTGGAAGAAGGAGGGTCAGAAAGGGGAAGAGAAAATAAATTGTATGGTTAATTGATTCCATAAACAACTGCTACTTTTTAACATGAAACCCAAGCACGATGGTGCCTTGGTACTAAAACAGGGTATTTGGATCTCAGGTCATGTAGAAGAATCCTGATCAAAAGGAGAAAAATGTAGAACAAAATTTCAAATTTTCATGGAATCCAGAATTTTTAGAACCACAGAGGTTGAATGAATTGTGGAGAGTACACCCTAAAACAAACTCCCCTGAAATCTTCTTAAAACTAAATAGTTTAACTTAACCAACATCAGTTTTAACACCAGTTAAAAGACCAATATGCACCTGATCTAAGTCATGTTGTTGTGATTGATTGCACTTGAGTCCAGCATGACTCATTGCCACTCTATGAACAAAAGGCCTGAAGCCTTTCTATAGCTATTGCCATTTATCAAAGTTCACAGAGTTTCCAGAGGCATGTTGTTTAGAAAATGGATGCCATAGTCTTTTCAATTACTTCTTGTACATCTGAAATTTGGACAATGAGAAAGGATAACATAAGAATCAATGTCTTTGAGTTGTGGTGTTGGAGAAGTATACAGATTATCTATCTCATGGACTGCTAAACGAACAAACAAGCCAGAGTGATCTGTAGCGGCAATATTGGAAAAACTTCATCTCATAAAATTTGGGTATGGTGTGAGAAGGGACCAGTCCTTGGAAAAAGAGATCATGTTGGGAAAGGTAATGGGTCAGCGAAAGAGATCAAGACTCTCAACAAGCTGGATTGACATGGTGACTGCACCACTGGGCTCACTCATATCAGAGATTATGCGGATGGCACAAGATTCAGGATGCGGCAAGGTTCAAATCTAATGTTCATAAGGTTACTATTAGTCTTAGTATACATGATGGCACCTTATAATAACAGTAAAAAATGTTTGAGTATTTGGCTTATATAAGATTTATTTATATGAGATCTCATTGATAACAAAAGCTGAAAATATTAAGAAATTTAAGAGACAATGGGTTTATGTTAATGGGGGAGGGATAATTTAGAAAAGGACAAAAATGTTTGTAGAGCTTGAAAAATATAATCAACATAAAACATCCTGTATGTAGAAATTGTTGCATTTTTGTATGTTCTGATGTGTATATTCTCAACAACAAAAATAAAATAAGTTATAAAAAGGAAATATTTTATTCTGTAAGCAGATAAAAACAAAATACTGAAAATATATAGAACCTAACAAATATAAAACAGAAACTCGGCACTCCTCCGCAGTGACTTGGTACATGTGGCATAATTTCAACAGAGGCTTCTTGTCTCCAATTCTTTTAGCTCTTTGTGACTCCCAATGTTTAATATTTTAAAGTTCTGCAATAAATGTAAAGAACACACACAAACACACACATTTAAAGAACACACCCCAATACTAGCATCTTTCCATCCTCTACATTTGGCTGTTTTTCAGCTACCAAAGTGGGAATTGGTAAAGCCAACATAGTCATAGCCAGCAAGGTGACTTCGACCTCGTGGGTCCACATATTGTTGCATATGTGAAGTACAGTAGGACACTTGTTCTGGAGTTAGGGCCTGAAAAACAGAGAGACATATATGGTTACAAGAATTCAAGTTCTTAGGGTAATTACTAGAATCTGCTGATAATAGGATCATTACAAGAATTCAAAGAATGCTAGTTCTTTGGGCATAATGATACGCCCTAAGTTTAGAGGATAAAGGGACTTTGGAAGGAGAAATCAGTCCTGTTCCTATGATAGCTTTCTTTCATCATTTAGTGGTTTCTGCCAAAAGAACAAACAAAAAAGGTACAGCCAGAGTGTTTCTTAGTGGCAAAGATGATATAACTTCATCTCATATATTTTGGACATGTTGCTAGGAGATGATATTCCTTGGAGAGGGACATCACATTTTGAAATGTGAAACAGAAGAAGATTCTCAGCCAAATGGATTAACATAGTTACTGCAGCAATTGGCTCGAGTATGTCAGAGATTGTGAGGATGGCACAAGATAGGACAAGATTCAGATCTGTTGTTTATAGGATTGCTATGCGTAATACTTGACTCAATGGCACCTAACAACAACAATAAAGAAGATCAACTTAAATCTTCAACTCTCCTTTTACTTAAGAGTCCTATCTGTCTTTGACTACACTATTTATTCCATTCCCTATGTTTGACTTATTAAAGAAAAATAAGGAATAGCCTTAAAAACTGAGTTGATGGTTTTGAATTGAGTCCAGTCAACAATCCTTATAAGTTTTAAAGCTTAATAAAAACAAATAATATCCTTTCTTGATAAGAGGAAATCTGAGAAAAGATGAGAGTCCAAAGTAATCATTCAGACATGAAATAATAAAAGCCTAGTTTATGACTAGAGCATGAAGAAAGGAACCAAAATCTAACCTGTTTCATGTCGTCTTTGGTAATATAAGACTTGCCCTCTGCCAGGGCATGGAAGGCATCCTCTATTTCATCACTGGATTTGATGTTCTCTGACTCTTTGTCGATCAGGAATGAAGTGTAGTCCTCCAATGAAACATAACCTTTCCTGTGGGAGAAATGGATCAGGAACTTTGTCCTCTCAAGACTTAGAGAAGAATTAGGTCCCTTTCTTTATCCTATTTATAGTGCCTCAGAGAAAGGCAAGCCAGATTCTCCAGATGCCTCTTTTAATTAAGCTCTCAGAGACTATGGCTATGGCTTTTCCTTTAGATTCTCATTTTCAATCATCTTCTAGTTAGACAAATGTGATTCCTATGTTCTACGCTCTGTCTCTCCAAGGGCTAGTCATCCTGACTCTGGGATTTCCATTCCAGCCTCTAATGTACAGTCTCATCCTTTGTATTAACTATAATGGCACAGTCAGTATAGATTTGTGTTGTAAACTCAAAGGCCAGTTCTCTCTGGTGGTTCATATCCACCTGTGACTCCAGGGAGAAAGACTTGAATCCTTCTCCCTTGAAATGTACTGTCTCAAAATCCCTGTGGAGTATACAATATGACTCAGTTCCAGCTCAAGGGTGAAGAGAGCAGTAACTTGAGCCCTCTATGTCTTGAGAACTCTGTGATGGATGCTTATGAACTTCACATCCACATTTTGGCTTCTGAATCCATGTTGGTACAATAAAAGGGCAGTGAAAAAGAAGAAGACCTTAAATGAGATGGCTGTCACATTGGGCTCATATATATCAATTACTTTTAGGATAAAATTAAACTTGGTAGTGCTTAGTTTTGTGGTACATAGAATCACTTTGTCTCAGAACTAACTTGATGCAACTAACAACAAAATATGAGATTAAACTGACGGGACAGAAAGAAGCTTGGGTTTGTGGAATATGTTCTTATTCTGGGTTAGTGCAGTGTGCTATTTTTTAGCTGTGCTGTATCTCCACCCCCTTAAGTTCTTGTGTCATTCATAGCTGTGATCTGGGCTTTGCTAACTCTCGTACCTCCCTGGGTCAACAACATTGAGAAACTTCTCAAACTTGGGCTCAGGTTCATCCTCCTCCACCATTGGCAGGTAGTAATTGAGTCCTCTTAGGCAGGACCGGAAATCCTTATGAGTCAAGCGCCCTGTCAAATCCCCATCAAAATGTCTGAAAGAAGAAAAAAATATTGGAACACTCTCAATAGAAAGCCAGGTAAGAATAGAAAGGAAGAGTTTTTTGTTAGATAAGCTAGGCTGTATTAATATTTCAAAATATTGTCAGAAAATGGAATAGAGAATTTGCCTCGGTCTCTACATATTTCTAAATGCGAGAGGAAAAATAACACTCTGAATTTGTAAGAATTGCACTTTACAAAATCTTTTAGGAATATTGAAAGCCATGACTGACTGAAGTTAATTATGATATCTGAATTCAAGCATGTCAAATCTCACTGAGTGGGAAGAATATGACTTACTTGGAGATTCATTCTGGAATGCTTGAAAAAAATATACAACTAATCTACTAGGAAGCTATACTTACCTAAAGGTTGTGCTAAATTCCTTTAGTGTCTCTTCACTCACACCAATTGTGTCCCTGTGAGAAAGAAAAAAAAAAAACCCATAAAGTATCCTATGAAGTAAAATCTAAAAGACTGACAGAATTGTTCAACTTGAAAGAGGAAGTTTAAGGTACACACCATAGAATATAAAAGATTGGTAGCATCTAGCCCACTTTTTTTTAAAGGAACAGCTTGTGAGCTATGAATGGCTTTTACATATCTAAATATTTTTTTTAAAAACAACAAAATAATGTTTAGCAAAGTATGAAGTCAAAATTGTATTAGCCACAAATAAAGTCTTATTGGAATACAGTATGCTTCATTTACTCATGAATAGCTATTTTTGCAATAGTCTTCCAATCTCTTTTCAGCCCCTTGGCGTTAAATTCCTAAAACCTTAGAATGAACCCACACGCTTCCCCAGCCCTCAGTACTTGGCTTGGATCTGTTGTTCCAGGTTGTGTTGCATTCGCATCCCAAATTCATAGAGTTGGTCCCACTGCTTAGCCAGACCAATGGTGCTGTATTTTATGTCAAGAATCAGCGCATCTTCCAAGTTTTCCCCAAGTTCCTCAATTTTGGTCAGCTGGCGCTTCATAGCCTGGATCTCCTTCTGTTTCCTCTGGAAAAACGGTGGAGGAAGAGACACAGTTACCCAGGGAACAAGTTCTAAAACCAAAGGAGGAAGAGGAATAAAAGAAATGGATCATTTAGAGTTTTCCCTAATTGCTTCATTTCCAATATTTTCAAGGATTTTCTCATTCTCAGTGAAAACACACTGTTCAGCAAAACCATTTCTCTAAATATTAAATGAAATAATGTCAAGAATTTTGTCATTATGTACATCTGAGGCTTGATTGTGGCCTACTGCTAACAATGAAGAGTAGAATTTTCAAGATTCATGTACTATCAGTTCCCAGTGATTTATATGGTTAATTACCCACACTATTGATTATGGATGAACTCTCGGGCCCCCTGAATGCTCAGCTTTCACTCCTGGTCCAAGCTCATCAGACTGGGCACATTTCCATGATTATTCCATGTTCCTCGTGTGTGATTGCTGCCTCTGAAAATCAACTTGGAAGGGCAGCTATGGGTCGGTTCCCACTCGATGGTACACACCAACAATAACAATATGCCAGCTTTCTTCATCTATTCTTTGTCAACGAAAAATCATTTCTCACAGAAGTGGTCAATTGGTTTGGAAAGGAGGGCAATAAAAAAAAAAAAAGTACTAACAAGGTAATCCTTCAAAGGTTAAATTTCCCTCATAACGATTGTATTGGTTTGGCTTAATTCCCTTCATAAGGAGGGTTTGAACTTGATCAAATAAATTTTTAACTTGGAGAGGCAACAATAAAAATAAGATTGAGAAACACTGTTTAACCCATTGTTTCACTCAAGTCTCAAAGGATATGCTTATATTTAATACATCAATTAATAATGAAAATTTTGGGGGAACTTGTGAAGATTACAGAGGTACAGTGTGCTGGAGGCTGGCTGTAGTCACACACAGGGTCAGGTTTACACACTGACTCCAGGCACAACGACTCAGGCACTCAGTGAGGTGTTTCCTGCCCCGTATCCTGTGTGGCCACAGGCTTTTGGTCTTACATAGCCTTACCACCACGCCTTCTGTTTTGGAAGAGCTATAGACAGAAAGATCTGAAGGAGATAAAAGTGTTGCTGGAAAAAAACTAGTATAAAAAGAATCTATGATGACCTTACAGCTGAGAAAATCCAAGATTGAGACCAAAATCAAGAGCAAGATTATAGCAGAAATCACAGGGGAAAGCCGACCTTCATGACAGTGAAAAGCCCACAGCTTTGGTAACTCCAATTACAGGGAAGATAAACAATGAAAACTCAACAATTATGGATGGAATCAGTGAGTTAAGTTTCTGAAAATCTACTTCACTTTAGCTGGAGCCCATCAAGTCCCTGCTGAGAATGTGCAGGTGCATTTCACTAAGGTCATTCGGCCTCCGGTGAAATATCTAAATGGAAAGAATTACTCAATGATTGTGAACAACTTCTTGAAATCCATCTGTGTGAAAAGCAGTTGGGTTATTTTTTTGTTTTTGTTTTTGTTTGTTTTTTTAAATAAAGGTCTAGACTGATACAGTTCTTATTTTGTGTAGAAAGAAAGCTTAAAACACACAATGTGTGACTCATGTTGAGAAAAAATGTAAAGAGAAAGAAAAGCTTCCTATGACACTGAAACAATCCCAGTGAGAGATTGATGTTCTAAAGAAAATTTATGAAGCTGGGGATGATGATATGAAGTGAACCATTGATAAAGCCTGGGTAGAACAAAGGGAGAAGCAAGTCAAAGGAGAAAGAGAATTTTGAGACTTTAAAAGGTCCTTTTGGGAACTGTGGTGTGGAAATATTGATGTTTCCAATAAAGGAAATGCTGGTGAACTGTACAGATAAAATTTGACATCTGTTTACAGTCTTTTTCCAAGTAATGACAATGAATTCTGCATTTCCTACTGGAGTAAATTCAAATAACATATGTTTATTAAACATTTCCTTAAAAAAAAAAAAAGACATTTACCAGTGTTCTGGGCTAGGAGCTTTGGCATTTGTTCTTAATTCCTCCTGTGACCCAAGAATGTGAGCAGAAATGAAAGCTCAGAGCTCTAAATACACTAACGCCTTAAGGGTTTCTCTATCCATGAAGTGGTAGCTTATGATTAGACAGCAAATTGATGGCAAAATTGGGACCAGGATCTTATTATACTCTTGACCTTCAACCAGAGAGTTCACCTCAAAATACCAACAGAATTAACCCTGAATTCATTTTCTTGCACTCCTTGTAATTCTGTCAAAATCCACAGTAATTAACAAATATCACTTACTTTATTAGCTTCCAATTGAGCTTCCAAAGTTCCTGTTTCCTTCAGTAAAGATCTAGTAAAGAACCAGAAGAAAACATTTATAAAATCAGACATCAATATTTCACACTGACATACCAACTTAAAACCCCTATACTTCTCTGTTGTTACATCTCACCTTTGATGGTCCCTGTTGTGGATTGAACTATATCCTTCACAAAGAAATATTGAAGTCCTAGACCTTGCATAGGTGACTGTGACTTTTTTGGTGGAAATAGTCTTTCTTTGAAGACATAATTTGTGAATTTATACCAGAATAGAGTGAGCTCTAGTCTCATTCCCTTCTGAGATGTTTTATCAAAAAAGAGAATAGACATGGAGAGGTAGACATGTAAAATAGTTGTGTGGGAGCCTCCTGCAAGAGGCGGGGGACCACTCTGAAAGGTAGTTTGGCACTTTCTCAAAAAGCTGAACATAGAAATTCTATGTAACTCAGCTAATACACCCCAAGAAAGTGAGGACTGACGCACAGACGGAGACTTGTATAGTAATGTTTATAGCAGGGTTATTTATCATAGCAAGAACACGGAATCAGCCATATATCCAACATTAATTGAATGGATTGAGAAATTATGGTACATTTACACAATGGAATACTATGCAGCACGCAGGAGCAAATGATATTGTAAATTATTACCAAATTTGGGAGAGATTGCAGAGCATTATGCTGAGTGAACTAACTCAGTCCCATGAGGACAAATACTGTATAAAAATCACTATTGTAGAACGAGTATGAGGATCCAAGGGGAATGGGTGGGAGCAGAGGGGTGTGGATGTTCCGGTTGAAGAATTAATCATGGGGTCTCACATTTTGATAGGTGAGGGGTATGGAAAATGGGAAAAATCTGGTGTGAAAACCAATGTATTCAAATTATGTAAACAAACTAGTATAAAAAATAATGTAAAGACAAATCAAACAACAGCTATAGAAGGAAAACAAAGGACATTTAATGATGAACACTGATAAATCTAGAAGCAACTTCTAGTGCCAAGGATTTATGACAGTCATTAGGAATTAGGAATGAAGCTTGGAGAAGTCGTTCTTTCAGACATTTTACAAGAAATTGACATGGCCAATACTTTGATTTGGGGTCCTAACCTTTAAAAGTGTAAGAAAATAAATTTTTGCTCTTTAAAATCACACACTTTGGGGTATGGTGTTAAGGCCCTCCTAAATAACTAAACATTCTCAAGCCTTTCTGTCTATTGGCAACCTTTTAAGATTGAAGAGAATAGGATTAGGCCTGCCCTCTTCCTTCTCTTACCCAGAAAGGGCTTCCATACCTTCTTCCTAGTTCATAGCCTCAAACATACCCTAGGCCTAATATAGACAATATTGTACCTTGTGGAGCTGAAGGCTAAGATTTCCTTCTTACCCCATATTTTTCTTTGTTTTTATTGTTATGTACCATGGAGTGGGAACCAATTCTTAGCTGATCCTCCAAAGTGTTTTTAGAAGCAGTAAAGTGCACGAAGGAGATTGTTCATTTTTCTACCACAGATCAGCTGCAGGATTCAAACTTCTCATTTTTGCCTTGGTAGCACAACTTCTTACCACTAAGCCATCATAAGATCACGAAGAAAGAAAACATCTCAGTACAAATTACCCCTTAACAAATTAGAATAAGATGCAATGGAAGCAGAAGTGGCATAAACTTCCTAAACAACATGACTCTGAAAACTCTATGAACATAGATAAATATGAATAGTTGTAGAGGGGCTTCAAGCCTTGTGTTCATAGGGTCACTATGAGTTGTGCTCAAATTGAAGGCAATCAGCAACAACAACAACAATGTAAAATACTCACCCATCCAGAAAATATGCTCTGGTTATAGAGAGGTCCAAAACAGGAATCAGAGGAGAGAGAAAAAGAAATCATTTGTTAGCATGGATTTTATTTCAATGTATTTACTTTCACATATTTATGAGCCATTCTTAGTATCTTTTAAGCACACAGTATAAGCCTGTCATATTCACTATTTCCAAAACATTTTTTTAATGTGCCTCAGAGACTTCTGTGAAGATTCTTACTTTAGAATGAGGAACACAAGAGTTCCTAGGATATGTCAATAATAGGCTCATAGTACAGGATACCCTATGGTAAAGGGACCAAGTCAGAAGCAGAGAAGGATGAAGTGTGCTTCCTGTGTCTTCTGTCATACTTTCGCTAGCCAGGACGTGGCAGTTCCTTTTGTTTATGGTATGATGTGTCCTTATCAGTATATATGTACTAAGAATAAATATCACAGATTGCCTAAACTACCACTTTACCCTCAAACTCCTCAACTGTGTCTCATCCACTGGATATACTGTCCCAATTCTGACCATTTATGGTAATGCATTACACTGGTTAAGCCTCTTCTTCTCCAAGTCATTTACCCCTTGATATAACAAATGTTATTTGCACCTATACAAAATTTTATATTTAGTAAAAGCAATTAGCATATATTATCTCCTTTGATTCTCATTACAGTTTTAGGAGGTAGACAATAATTGCTTCATATTGGGTGTTCACAGTAGGCACTGCTTCTGATTGTGCCAATAAATCCTTACGTGACCTTGAAAATGTTAACTTCTCCATTTGAATACCTTTCCTTACTTAGAAACAGAAGCAATAAAATCTGCTGTGTGCCCTTTTCAAGGTTGTTCTGAAAGCTGAGTGAGGTAATGGATATAAGCATACTTTGTAAAGTGCAAAGAGAGATGCAAACATAAGGAACTGTTATTTTTTAGGACTGCAATTAGAAGAAGAAAGACAAGCATATCCAGGAGGAAATACAGAAGGGTAGACAATAGAAGCAGATTGAAATTTCTATTCCTTCATTTTACTAAGAAATAGTTTAGAAAGCAGTCAACTCCAAAGTTAAGGCATAGACAACTATAGTGATTTTAGGACAGAATAAATGCAATGGAATTTTCATTCTCAGACATTTGTTTCTTCTTTATTGTGAAGTGGCTGTATAAGCACCATGAGCTGGGCTGGAAGTGGGTCTTTACAGGGCACACCTGGTCTCTAAGATCCACTGCAGGAAGGCACTGGCATTCTGTTCAAATTCCTGGCACATCTCAAAGTTCTTGACCTGTCTTGCTTCCTCTTTTTGCAACTCCTGTTCACGTTCCTAAAACCACAAATGACAGATTGTGGGGTATGCATTCAAGGAAATTATTTTGCCGTAAAATAAACCAATCCCAGGGTTAATTTTAAAAAAATCTACTTCTTTTAAATCTAACCCATATTCCAGTGGTAGGTACCTTTGTACTATATTTCTTCCAACTCACTTTTTCTCATCTCCAGAATGTGAAGAAAGCCAATGTTAGTTCCCTTAAGTTCTCGAAGGAGATTCTAATACCAAGATCATTAATAAGTACCTCACTATATCTCAGTCACAGAGGGACGAATGCTATATGGTGCCACTGTTGTAGAATGAGGCTGACATCGGGATG